AAAAGCACTCTGGCCTTAATTGTCGGTGGAACCCGCTAACGGACGTGGAAGGCATCGCTAAACGCTTGTCGAAAGGGCTTTTACTAACACCTGGCACCTCCGCTGTTGCCTTGAAGAGTGATGTTCAAAATCTGCAGCCGTGTACAGCCCGGCGTGTTATCTTCAATTGCATCAGCGACTTAGTCATTAAGCAACTATAAACGGATTCGCTTCTTGAATATATAGCTCGTGACCTTTTTCCGATCTCCCCAGTGTATTACTCCGCCGTCGGTGAAAAGACAAATGACCATATCTCAAGTAGAAATAAATCTGTCAATCCGTTTATAACATATCTTTATGAGATCTTTATTGCACGTTCATTGCTAAGTGTTAACCACTGCGGAATAATTGCTGGCTGGTGGTTATATGCATAAAGGTAGCTGAAATCGAACGACGTAAATCTACTGGTAATATGATTCATCGTTTCTGATATTGGTTATTATTTCTTATCAACTCTTTTGTCACAGTCCCTTTATTCGATAACAAAGTAGATGTAGGTGCGATTAGATACATTTAATACTACATACCGGAGTATCTTTCTAAGGCCACACCAAGTAAATTATATGGATGACGTCCTTTGGATGATGGAGACCCGATATCTAATGCGAGAAGCCGAAAAAAAACAAGAAGGGCCCTAAAAAACAAGATGCCTATATTAGAAATATACTAAGAGACGACAAATGTTAGGACACAAATTGAATGAGGTGACACAGTGTAACAAGCAAGAAGTCTTTTATTCATCATCAAAACAGCAATAAATCAGGTGGAACAGCAGTTGTCGTCCTGTCCTGTTTCTTTCATCACATTTTTGCAGGCCTGTGCTCTTTACCCATTTCGCGTTACGGGTTTCACGTCAATCTAACGATTTGTGGCACTGTCGTGACTCTTTGGTCATAGTTACAGGAAGCGGAATTTCGTGTGTTTTTTCTAGGAACATGCCAAAATCAATGCGCGCGCAGACGTCATCCATAAAATTTACTTGGTGTGGCCTAACATATGAACAAGCCGTTGAACTAAACGGTTTTTGCATCAGTGTGTTGCACGTCCTTGGCATAAATATTTCAGTACCGCTATTACAGGGGTATCTTATTAATCGGTTTTAGGTCTTCTGGTTCAAGAAGTTAAGTCGTTCGTCTTTAAGATTGTCGCTTGGTTCTACAGAGAGTTTGTGGAATTCTCCAGAGGCTCGGAGCTTTTCCCTTTGGGGGACGGAACGCACTTGATGTGTATCAGTACGGAAAGGAAACTGTAATTTTTAATGACATCAAGAAATCATCACATGGAGATTTTCCCCAGCAGTAGGGCAACATTTTTTTGCAAATACCGAATCTTTATTTTTTTGCCCCCAATGAGCCATGGCAATTATAAAACAAAAAAGAGACACAATGATTAGATTAAAAGTAAATAAAATACATAACAAAATAAGGACAAAACGAACATAAATCAGAACAAAATCTGAACAACAGTTGCACTATGAATGATTAACAAATAGAATATAGGTACAATTGTTGGGGATTTTATAATTAATCAACATAATATTTTACGCTGTCAACAGTTCTAGTCCAAACATTTCTCGCGATTTTGAGGTCAGCCAAATTTTGTCGTACTTAAGTTGAACGTGATGTCTTCTGTAGCGTCTAAACTTGAGAGTACAGAGTCAGTAATACTACCTTAGTATGGGACAAATTGGTTAGCAAGAAAAGTGAAAGAAGCCGGGGGGGGGGGTACACAACATGGCCTAACAACCATTAGGCCTAACATCAAAAGGAACGGGGGACGCTCAGCAACATGCAAGATACACCACTCATCCAGCCATGACGTGACGGTGACATCACAGGGGGTCAACCCCTTACTTTACTGAAAAAGACTGGTGCCGTGCAGTCGAAATGTTTGGTAAGTCCATATTTCTCATTGTGCAGGACATCACAAATGTATTGCTAGAATCCTCTTCTCTTTCACATACCAGACTATCGTATTTTTCATATGCAACAATGCAAATACCTCCCGTCGGCATCCTTATGGCATGAGAGACAGGGATCTTTACAAGATGCTCAATGAGTACGTATCTTTACGACATGCTGGAACGGCATCTTTACGACATGCTAGACCGGCATCTTTACGACATGCTGGACCGGCATCTTTACGAGATGCTGGACCGGCATCTTTACGTCATTCTGGACCGGCATCTTTACGACATGCTGGACCGACATCTTTACAACATGCTTTACAACATGCTTTACGAGATGCTGGACCGGCATCTTTACGAGATGCTGGACCGGCATCTTTACGAGATGCTGGACCGGCATCTTTACGACATGCTGGACCGTCATCTTTACGACATGCTGGACCGGCATCTTTACGACATGCTGGACAGGCATCTTTACGAGATGCTGGACCGGCATCTTTACGACATGCTGGACAGGCATCTTTACGACATGCTGGTCCGGCATCTTTACGACATGCTGGACCGGCATCTTTACGAGATGCTGGACCGGCATCTTTACGACATTCTGGACTAGGATCTTTAAGACATGCTGGACCGGCATCTTTACGACATACTGGACCGGCATCCTTACAGTATGCTCGACCGGCATCTTCACGTCTTTACGACATGCTGGACCGGCATCTTTACAACATACTGGACCAGCATCTTTACGGCACGATAAACGACTTCTACTGATCTAATAGGCTTGTGATTGAACTACATTAGGAATAACCATCAGATACGTAAACTGCACAAAACGATATCGATCCGATGTCTCTTCCAAATCAATGTGGCAAACCAGACGTGACGCATGCTGTTCTACTTCCCAACAAAGGTCAAAGAACCCAGCAGAATGAAGGACAACCGAAGCACTTCTTGATTTGCTTTTGTTTTCCTTGTTTTCTTATGCTACGTTTATTTGATTTTGTGTTAATATTGCTTTCTTATGTCTATCCTTTGCTCAAAAATTGGTCTTATGCATTTGACGAATTGAATTTTTTTCTTGTTCAATTTGACATGTTTTTGATAGTCTTACTTTATTGTTGAGTCAATTAGTTAGTTAGTTCGTCGTGTTAACTTTATATTATTTTGTATCTATTTTGATTTAATCTGTTTGTTTCGTTGTCACTTATGTATTATACACGTGTGTAAAAAGAAGTCTTAAAAAACAATTGGATTTTAGGAGAACCCACTCGATAAACCCTTAGGTTTCTTGGGTTCTCCCGCACATTTGGTTATACATAGTCATTACATACTGTTTTTATTTTTATGTGCAAAATGAAATAAACAAATAAACAAAGCACATGAATGACCTGTAGGTAATGCTATAGAGAGTCGGGTGAACTCCCCATGCCCTGCTTTAGGTATATTGACCTACACGGAACATTATTACCAGCAGCTGTAGTTTATGGTGAACTCTCGTGCCCCGAGTTGATCCATACACGTATCAATGACGTCAAGTCCTCCAATCTAGGTTGCTGACGCTTCCTTGATGGTTGCAGAGTAGACAGCTAAGTGTCATCGATAGAGATAGAAGCAACCTCCCAAATCATAATCATTAGATGTCAACCTTGCTCAAAGTCAGACACAACTGAGCTGTTATAACCTTCGTCTAACAATTGGTGATATGTATTCTCTGGGATCTGAAGAATGCCAGCAACTACCAAGAGAAAAACTTGCATGGGTTACATCAATTTTACACATTTCTGATCACTATATTGTTGCTGTTTTGTATGCTTGTGTATGTTTAGGGCTTCATTTTCTTAATGGGCTAATTGTGGATCAATGTAGGATATTTACAACTAAACCAGAGAATTCACGATGAAGGGTTCAGGCTGACAAGTCATGCTGGAGATGCAGATACTAGAGGGTTAGGAATAAGGGCTTCAACCCCAACTGATGTGGTTGCCTTTAAAAGGAAGCTCTCCTCATTTATGTACAACAGATTTTGCCAAACCTACAGTTTAGAGCAACCCTGTACTTGGCAGTTATCTTGTGGTTGCGCTACTTGTCTGGCCACAAGACCGCGCTAACTGTGATATCACTGCTGGCTATATAACTGTCGGTATTTGTTGTCTCGAATCAATAACTCTCACAATGTTAATAAGTTGAGTTGCCTTGTAGTTCTAAGTTTATTAATTTGTTTCTCAAATTGTATTTTGTGATTTGATTCCTTTTTGTATTGTTTTGTCATTTTATTGGTATAGCGGCTTTGAAAAGGTTTTTCATGTTAGAAGCACCTGTTTCGCCATGCCATCCACAGTGCATATTGTACGTGGTAAAACTTAATGAATAAATAAATAGACTGCATGGAGGTTGTGATTAATAGTCCACTCCAGTGCCGCCCTGGGAAGTTGAATGACCTCATTGGCCTCAATCGTACTCACATATGCCATCTTGAAGTTATAGCTCAGAGTGAGATGGCGAGCCAATGCGTTAGACTTTCAGATTTTGCGATAATCATGAACGCTAGCACGGTAAAATATTTTAACTGTCGTTGAGTATATGTGCCATGACTCTACCCTTGTCACGTATATATACGGCTGGAAGCTTTAAGAGCAACACCTACGCGGGGCTTAGTTCAACAGATTGCTAGCTGCACCGTCCTTGGCCGTGAAGGTTGTATCATATTTTTTTTCTCTCTCGGGGATTACAGAGACGAGGTAACGTCGCCATACTGATGAGTGCGACTTTTTTTATTCCAACATGTTATCACCAGACGTGGTGACGACACACTCAAGTTTCTTCAACTTATAGTTATATTAATGCCGCCACCAACACAGGGGACAAATACATTACAGGGCATTTACACCTGAGCTAAGTGAGGAAAGCCGTGTAAAGTGCTTTTCCCAAGGGCACAAGATCGGTGGCATGTCAGGACTCGAACCCGGGACTCTTAGTTCCGAGTCGCGCACTCTGCCGCTACGCCACACGACCCCACAACAGATACAGTTACAATGAAGTGTGATCTACTCACGTATTGTGTTCTGTCTTCAGTACAGTTCAGCAGCAGTTCCACGGCTCCGACAAACTCCCGCTTGATGGCGTGAAGTAAAGCGTCGCCCACCTACAACAGACGGGGAGAAATGGTCACAATATGAAGGGAGCTATAATCGTGTTAAAACACTGTCTTTAGTCAGTTACACCGAAGAGGGGCTCATCAGGCTTGCCGTACATTTTTCACCTTCCGTTTCTGTATCTGTATGGCCGGTATAATAGTTGTTTATTGCAAATTCTTGCCAGAGTGGTAATTGCAGGAACAGAGGAAACATGGTATAAAAACAGACACTTAGTACATATAGAACTACTGATAACTACTAAGAAACTACTGGTAAAAACTACTGGGTTTGACTTCATTTTTGAAGACAGAGGAAGACAAAGGATCCCACTTTTTCTGTAATACGTGGGTTACATATTAATAATGGGGTTACATATAAATATATGTATATATAATAATGTATCTAACATAAAGCTGTAGGGTGAGACCTAGAGTCACTTGGACAATATGCGATGCGACAATGACCTGCATGATACAAACAAATTGCGAAGGGCCATGGAGGATCAAGTGCTATGGAGGAGACTTTCCAGATTGGTTCGCGCGGGAGCTCGAACTAAGTAAGTAAGTAAGTAAGTTAGTACTAAGTAAACGATGTTTGTTTATTAATCTCAGGCTCGTGGCCCGTATCAACACAGAGATATGTAAAATACGCCAAAAAGCAGTTACTCAAGCAACTAGATATGATTCTGAAAACGTCAAACGTTTCAGCTAGTATATCCACTAGCTTTCGTCACTAGTGACTGAGAGACCAGAGGGGAAATGCAGGTTTATAAGCACAACCTAATAATTGGTATGCAGATAAAGTGAAGACAAATTTTTGAAAGTCGAAAAAGGAACAAAAGTCAAGACAAGATAATGCAAATTAGTCAGAAGGCTCCTGTTATACAGAACAGGCAATATATATATATTAAAGTGGCAATATATGAAAGAATGTACAACCCCACCCTCAACAGGGAAGGGGGGCTACGGGTGGATCTCTCTTCGGTATATCAATCAATAGTTTGTGCTTATAAACCTGCATTTACCCTCTGGTCTCTCAGTCACTGACGAAAGCTAGTGGATACTAGCTGAAACGTCTGACCGTTTCCAAAATCATATCCTGTTGCTTGAGTAACTGCTTTTTGGTGTATCGTATTACCTGGATGTCTAACCTTCATCGACGTATCTCCGGGCTTTTTATTGTATATTTTCATATGTTGCTTACAACAACAATTGTGCGCCACAGGACTAAGGTTTTAAACAAAAACACATATACAATAAAAACAAAAGAACGTGCATTATCTACAGCCTAATAGCAAAACATATACCGAGTCTCAAAAGAATCCGTCCACCCAAACGCGAGAAACAGCTGCGAACATAAAAATCTAAATCTCTCACAAAACCCTTCCGCGGAAGGATGTCTCCTCCCGGGGAGGTAAAAACACCTGTATGGAGTGTTGTACTCACCCTGACGTTGTAGGAGACCAGTAGCTCCACCAGCTCCAGGTTCTCGTTTTCTATGGCGATGAGCAGAGCTGTCCTGCTCAGAGGGTCCGTACAGTTGATGTCCATCTCTGTTGAAGAAAGTACAAGTAACAACTGAATCGCCATACGTACCATACGTTAGGTAAGGTTTTGGTTTTGGGAGCATGGTGTTCTTTTTTTCTCTTAGTTTTTGTTATATTTATCTTTGGAATTGTGATCAGTTGGACATTATGTTCTATTCAGTTATTTAAGTTATTTATACCTTTGTTAATTTTGTGGACACCTTTGTTGTTTACGCACAACGCTGGATTATGCTCAGATTATTTTGTGCTTTTTTGGGTCGACCTCTGACCTCTCCTATTGATTTTGAACTTACTTTATCATTTTGTAATCATCATTATGTACAAGTTTTGTTATTTATGTTTCATTTTATTGACCCCAGGAAGAATAGTGCTTTTAAGCACTAATGGGATCGAAATAAACAAACAAACAAGTTTTCTATGCTTTTATTTCAAGCGTACCTGAAGTGTGCAAGGATGAATGGATTGCTACGTTTGATAAATTGTTGGATTTTAGTTCTCCTATTGCATCTGATGTACAGTCCTTTTGTATATCTTGTTTTGTATATGTTATATGGTCCCGATTTCTGGATTGTAGGTATTTCATTTTAGACAGGAAGGTTATATGGTGAATTGAAGAAAAGTAATATTCTAAGATTTTTGCATCTGCACACTTCCTGCAAAGCAAATGCAAAGTGAGACCATAAAGTTGATATCCATATATACTTTTAAGAATTAGTTGTCATAAAAATATAACATAGAAATGGGTCGAAACAAGAAAATACCAAATGACCAAAGGTTCTGTCCATTTTGTCCAAACATGATTGAAAATGAGCACCATTTTATAATGGAGGGTACACTATACAATGATAAGCGCTTATTGCTGTTCACCTTTCTTTCCGTTTGTTCAATTGATTTCAATACGTTAGATCCTATAGATAAATTCAATTACATTCTCAGGGGAGATAACCAATACAGTGTTCAAATAGGAAAATACATTGAAGAATGTTTCGATCTTAGAGAACACACGTTAGAGAATAGTTAACCTTAATTGTAACATCATACATATACTCTGTACGTAAGATGACGTTATCCACACATGCATTTAGCTTTGGTATATCTTTAGTTAAGTTGTAGAAGACCATACAAAAGTCCCTGTACTTTTTTGTTGTGTCAATAAAGAATCTCTTGAAAACATCGCGTCTAGGAAGAGTTGCCCACTCACCTGGCCCGTAGTCCTCCAGGATTTTGCGCACCGTGGCGTAGTCTCCCCGCTCCACGGACACCAGGAAGCGCTTCTCCGCCTCCGACAGGTCCGACTCGTGGTGAACCACCCGCAGCGGGATCCGGTCAGCGTCCTCCTCCTGCAACACTTCATCTGGGATGGTGGCCGCCATGTTCTGTGGGGGGGGGGGGGTCAAGGTCAGCGGGAGTCAAGGTCAGCAACGAAAATGACAACAAAAAAATATTTCCTCACTGAAATTATATTGCCGGAATGGGTACCTTTAATCTTCTTTGAATCTTTATTGCCCAGATGTGCTAAATGCACAAGAGGGTATGCAGTATGCAAAAACATGAGTATTTCATACTGAAACGCTATATTCTAATGCAAAGTGATAAGAATCTATACATCACAACAATACTTTATACTACCTAAAAGTACCTATCATCTACTGCTAGTTGCCCTTTCTTCTCTCTTTTTGAAACATTTGGAAACATAATTACATAGTTTGTCTACTATACATTCGTTCTTAATTAACTAGAAAGGTAACATTTGCCATGCAAATGCATAATGCATACCTTAGCATATTGTCTGCTCTGTTAATTCTTACTCAAACACATGCACAGATATATGGTGAGAGGAGTCTAAATCACTCCTGCTATAAAATTGCAACATTATGTAACCCAGTTACCATGGTGACAGACGTCTGCTTCAGGCCATTGACCTTATTTGTTTGGATAAGAAGAGGAGGAAGAAGAAGCAGAGCAAAACAGTATGTTTTCCTTCTGCGAAGGTTAACATAATTAAACACTGACAGCTGTCCGGCCGTCCGCCATGACGCCACTATGTACTGTGAACGGAACGGCTGGCATATCACATGTCACCCAATATCTGCTTAAAAACCCTCATTACCGAACACCCACAAAGGCTGACGAAATTAATGACCTGTTCCAAAATTCCATCAAAATATGTGTGTCTTCTGAAATGTTCTGAAAGCTGTCCGGACGGCCACCATGATGCCACTACCGTGAACGAAACGGCTGGCAAATGTCACCCAATATCTGCTTGGAATTACCGCACACCCACAAAAGCTGACGAAATAAATGACCTGTTTCACGAGTCCATCAAAATGGGGGTGCTCTTTGAAATGTTGTGTGACCTGCTATGAAAACTGCTACGGTATCCAAAAAACCTGAATCATGATCATCTCGAGCATACTAGCAGACGACTTTCCAAACTACATACCAATGCAGCAAAGGGATCGTTCGGGCTACAGCTGTGAACGTACATTTCAACGACTCGTTCCAATACTCGGTCACTGACCTCCTTCATGGAGTAAAGGCCACACCGACTTTATGAATGGTATGGAATTTTATGGATGGTATCCGCGCACGCATTGATTTTCGCCTGTCGCCCTCAAAAAAAAAAAAGATTACGTCCTGTTGCCTGGCTCTAGGCCTGGGTAGTCCATAGTAGTTAGCGACAATACGGAGCCGAGCACCCAGGCTATCGAATTCGAAGCTCCACGACTCAAGAACTCAGTACATACGTACAGTGCTGGTTCATAAATTCCGCAAAAAGCCAGCATGTGCCGGCTTGCCGTATACGTCGCTAAGTACTGCCGCGAATTCACAATACCAGCTTTGTATTCCTTTGGTTTAATAGCATTTTTATTTCTGGCCGGAATTTTTTTTATTCGCCCGCGCGCACTAGTTTGGGGGTCTTCAGAGGATGTCATCCATAAAATTAAATTGGTGTGGCCTAACAGGAGGCATGTAAGTCTGGGATGACGGTGTCTAGCGAGACAAGGCCTTTGGTATCTTCGGATGTGAGGTATCATAAAACCATGTACACCGTAGATAAGGTCAACAGGAGTCAAGGTCAACAATAACATGACCTGTGAGTCAGACATGGCGGTGTCTGCGAGCTCCAGACAAGGTCAAGTCAAGGGCATTGTTATCTTCGTATGTCAGGTATCATAAAGCCATGTTCAAGACAAAAACAACAAGACTGGCAATGAAAAAATTCATTGCCATGGCGACGGTGGTTGCTGTTAGGGTTATTGTTTGCATGGCACTGCCATGATTTTGAGGAAGACTTGGTACCTGTTAAGTCTAGACAGATACAGTGCACTCCTCCCCTGAGTGTATAGTGAACGAGCCCCGGGGTCACAGAAAGTAGGGGGGCATCTGGAGTAGACAGGTTTTCTCAAGGGTTTCCAAGAATGTGGGCATAGATGTGGGTCAGAGAAATGCCTGTGGAAATTCTGCATGCCTGTGGACAAAATGCCTGTACCATTCCTAGAATTCTTGCAAACTGCGCACAATACTGTACCATTAGGCTCCTCCCTGAGACGTCGCCAAAAAAGGCGTAAAGAGACATGCTCATAAGGGATGGTGGCGGCCATATGTAGTTTGATGAGACAATGAGACAACGCTAGCTTCGGACGTCAGGTATCATAAAATAATGTTCTGGGGAAACAGATTAAAGTCAACAGGAGTCAATGTCTACGTGCATGGTGGGTCAGAAATGGTGGCACACATGTTCTGGGCAGACAAGGTTAAAAGGGTCAACAGAGACCTAGACAGCCGGAGTCAGTGGAAGCCATGTTCTGGAGACTGGAGTTCGACCCGAGCCCAGAAGGTCCAAGATAGTGGCAACCATTCTTCGATTCATTGAGGTAAGGTACTATACAGAAGTCAACAGGACTTCAGTTTCAGTTTATGTCGCACTTTAAAACAAAATGTAAAACAATACAAATACAAGAAAATATAAATTAAATGTAACAGTGCAGGGAGGCCGGAAGCATAAAATGCTTATGAGGAGGCCTCCCTTCATAACATGATTAACAATTCAAATAAATCGGCTAAATAAGAAATAATTTAGGTAACGGGTAAATGAAACAAAACAAAACAATAAAATACAATACGATACAATAATGAAAAGTAGTAATGAAAAGTAGTAAACAAGGAAACATAAACAAAAATTAGGAATGTGTGGGGTTAGTCAAGGACTGAAATGGCACGCTCTAGTTTCTGAAAGCAGAGTAACCACTACAGTAAAGAAATGACATCGACATTTACCACGCCAATGCGACCATTGCAAGGCATTCCCAAACTGTATTTGAGGAGGGACCTGCGTTGTTCTCACCATGATCGGCAACCGACAGGTGGGGTCGTGTGGCGCAACGACAGAGCGTTCGGCTCGGACCAAGAGGTCCCAAGTTCGAATCCTGCCATGCCACCGATCTTGTGCCCGTGGGAAAGGCACTTTACACGAATAAGTTGAAAAAAAAATACCGTCGCCATTTTTGGTAATAGGTCCACCGTACCAGACTAATGACCAGACGATGCTCCTTCTGTTATCTTCGACATTCGACAACAAACATTCAACCAACCTGCGTAGGAGGTCCAGTGGTCAGGGACCCTGCGTCTGGGTCTGGACCTCGAGAGCGCCATCCCCGGCTGTTGTCGCTCAACCAATTAGTAAAGCTATTAGAAATGGCTGTAGTCTTTATCACGGAATGTAAGCTGTTCTTCGTTATTCATGCAGAAATAGTCGGGAAGAGTAGGCGAATTCCCCCTTGTGCAAAGTACGTACGTACTGTACATGTCGGCTAAATGTACTTCTTGTTACAGTGATTGGGAAAATGCCCTTCGGTTAGGCCACAGCAAGTAAGTTTTATGGATGGCATCCTTCGCAGACTCCAAATCTAATGCGATAGGGCGAAAAAAAACAAAAGACGGGCCCAAAAAACAAGATCCCTACATTCAAAATGTTGACATGATAAACCTTGTTTAACAAGAAATGATACATGTATTGTGCTATTACTAACTTAACTGCCAACTATTACAACATCAATTTCTCACTAAAAACAACTTTGCAAACTAAATGTTTTCAATCATAGTACAAATGATTTTGATTCAGTGGAAACATCACATATATACACAGCCACAATTACGGCAACAGACATCTTCGCCCATTTTCGGCATGTTGACCACTGTCACAGGGCTACGAAATTTCTTGTTTTTTTCCAAAATCAGGCGAAAATTAATGCGCGCGCTGATGCCATCCATAAAAATTACTTGCTGTGGCCTTAGCTATAATAACACTGGACGGAGATTGCCTTCCCATTAGGCCACAGCAAGTAATTTTTATGGATGACATCAGCGCGCGCATTAATTTTCGCCTGATTTTGGAAAAAAAAACAAGAAATTTTGTTGCCTTCTGACAGTGGTCAACATCCCGATAATGGGCAAAGATGTCTGTTGCCATGCCGGAAGGTGAATGGCAGATAACTATGAAGAGAGGAGACAAAAAAAGGCTCTGATTTCATGTTTTGTTTCTTACTTTGATGCAGTGATATGTGATGCTGGTTGTGTATATGTGATGTTCCCACTGAATCAAACCATCTGTACAATGATTGAGTCAAAATTTTCAAAATGTAGGAACCTTGTTTTTTTTGGCCCGCCTTGTTTTTTTTTCGCCCGCTCGCATTAGATTTTGAGTCTGTGGAGGATGTCATCCATAAAATTTACTTGCTGTGGCCTTACGTACTGACTGACGTCCATATCGTCATAGTCTGGTACAACATCACTACATCATCATCCATACATGTATGACCTACGCCCAATCACGGGGACCGAAGGTTGAACACTATTGTCAGCTGCGACCTTAATAAAAATTAGATGGTGACAGGGTACGGCAAATCTGTTACTAATGAAATCTGCTGGCGACCAATCAACCGTCAGGATGGCAGATTGTTCCGATTCTGTCGAAGGATTCTGACTTAAGGTCGATGACCAGATATCTAAAAATAATTAAGGTCGCTTAATCCAGTTCTAGCTTATACGGTGTAACTCTCATAGTTGTGACAAGGACAGTGTATATGCGCAGGGTATGTGTGTATTTGTATGTGTTTCTATCACGAAAGTTCATCTGTGTTGGTAGTTACATGTCTAAAGTTAAAACTTTTGTTCCAACACAAAAAATTCTCTCACCTAGAGCTTTCGACCAGTCACTCTGGTCTTCCTCAGTAGACTGACCCATTGAACCGCGACGGGGGTCGACATCGTCTACCAGATACCTTTGACCCAGTGTTGACGTCACACTTCAAAGAAGCCACGTGACAAGCTTCACTGGGTCAGTCTACTGAGGAAGACCAGAGTGACTGGTCGA